TTTGTTGTATTACATCGACGTAGAAACGTCCAAGAACGTCGTGTACATCACTGAAATTCGAAAAATGGTGGGGAGAAATTATTCAAGTCTTGACGTTTCGTTCCTCCACTTGTCGAAGATCTCAAAATTGTTGTCGCAATGGGTCGTCTTGTCCCCACTCAGTGTCATCCCCGTGTTTTCAGAAGCCGCAACAAAAGCAGTGTTCATGTTATATCCCGACTTCGCGGATATCCGGAAAAGCGTGACGGTCCGAATTGTCGATTACACAACACACACACAAATTCGCGATCTTCGCCATAGTAACATCAACACGTTAATTCGAGTGATTGGGATAGTTACTCGAGTCACGCCGATCTATCCACAACTCATTGCTGTGAAATACATCTGCGCGGTATGTCAGGCACGGCTCGGCCCATATTATGTGAACAAAGAGATGAATAAAGTCCCCCAACTTCAAGTTTGCACGACATGTCAATCGAAAGGGCCTTTTTCTATTGACGTTCAAAACACCGTTTATCGCAATTATCAGAAGATAACTGTCCAAGAACCTCCATCCTCAGTGTCTGCAGGAAATGTCCCTCGGACAAAAGATGTCATCTTGTTGGGGGATTTAATCGACAAGGCGCAACCTGGCGAAGAAATAGATGTGACGGGGATATACATTCATAACTATGAAACAGGGCTAAACAGAGGATTTGGGTTTCCAGTCTTTTATACTGTTATTGAAGCTAATATGATCGAGAAGATGTCTGGAGACGTCATCTCAACGACTATCACACACGAGGAGGAACAAGAGATCAGAAGGTTATCTGCACAACCGAACGTCTTTCATCTCATTATCAATTCAATTGCACCTTCGATTTATGGCCACGACGCTTCTAAGGCGGCGATTGCTCTTGCTCTATTTGGAGGAGAACCAAAACTACTCAAAGAAAAGGGGAACCACCGCACTAGAGGAGATATTAATGTGCTGCTCTTGGGCGACCCCGGGACGGCTAAATCTCAATTATTGAAGTATTCACAGAAGTTGGCGCCAAGGGCCGTGTTTACGACGGGGAGAGGAAGTACTGCGGTCGGACTCACAGCGGCTGTGAAGAAGGACGTTGGTGGGGAGTGGGCACTCGAGGGGGGTGCACTGGTATTAGCAGATGAAGGCGTCTGTTTAATAGATGAGTTTGATAAGATGAGTGATGAAGATCGGACGTCTATTCATGAGGCGATGGAACAACAATCAATCTCGATCTCAAAAGCGGGAATAGTGACAACTTTGAAGGCAAGATGCTCTGTGATTGCAGCGGCGAATCCAAAAGGTGGGAAATATAATCCATCGAAAAATTTGCAAGAAAACGTCAATTTGACGGAACCAATCATCTCGAGATTTGATTTGGTGATGATTGTGAGAGATACGGTGGAATATACCAGAGATTTGGCATTGGCAAAGTTCGTTGTGGCTTCTCATTTTCTCAATCACCCCAATCACAACGAAGAGAGCGACTTGGGCGGAATGAAAGAAAATTTGGGGGACGAAAAAGAAGAGAATGAACAAGTCATAGAAGAGAAGAGCAAAGAGGAGAAAAACACCACCGTACTTGGAAAAGACTACGTCATCCCTCACACACTCATGAAGAAGTATATAGCCTACGCAAGACAAAACTGCCACCCAAAGTGGACGTCCAGCGCAGGACAGGAACAAATCATCGAAGTGTATAATGCAATGAGAAGTACATGCTCTGGGTTCGGTGGGTCACAGGTCACCGCAAGACAGATTGAAGCAATAACCAGACTTGCTGAGGCGCACGCAAAGTTACACTTAAAATCTGTTATCAATTTTGAAGATATTAAAATGGCCCTCAAAGTTTCTTTGAAGTCGTTTATTTCGTGTCAGCGGACGGAACAAGCCAGAAAGCTTCAGGCTGTTTGTTTTTTATTTTTGTTTATTATTGAAAATCTTCAAGAACACATGTGTAATGTGACAATGCAATTCTTTAAATTTGAAAAGAAATACAACAATCAGAAATTGACCACCAGAAATTCCAAAACTACTTAAATTGAATGAAGTGTTTTGTTTTTGGATAAATGTTGTCAGTCTGTTTTTGGGTGTTCGTTATTGTTTGGATTTTGCGGACGCTTTGGCTGGATTTTAAGGTTCTTCTGTTTCTGATGTTTTTTCTTGTACATGTCGCTCGAGTAAATGATGACGAGCAACGTGTCAGCAATCATTCCAAGAAAAATTCCTATTGCAGCGCCAAGCCCTGCGTATACAACACCACCATATCCATACCCAACAAACCCTAACGCCATTGCACAAACCACCATTGTGACTAAAATATTGATTGCTTCGCTCACATCCATGTCATTGTCTGCATTCTTATCACCCTTTAAAACAATCCCCTTTCCGTATTTTTCTCGCAAGTCACGAGTTAAGTTGTTATACCTTTCGTTGAGTAATTTTGAGTAAAATACAAACGAAACAAACTCCAAGTTTTGGAAAAGTGGTGTTGAGCCGTACAACCCTTTAAATGGCGATTTTGATTCTTTAAAAATAGACGATTTCTTTTGAGAAGGTTGTGGTTGGTTGTTGAGTGTGTTCGAATTGTCTTTTGTTTCTGGCAATGTTTGCTCTTGTGGTGAATGAGGTGTTGTTGTGTCGTGTTGGGACATCTTGAAAAGTAGAAAAAAAGATCTGAACCAAAAATGAATTAATAAACGATGAAGTCTGAAGGGACTTTCCCATCGACGTCACAAGAAAAGAATGTTTACAGTAAATCGTCGATGACGATTGATGATACAAGTGACAGTTATATCACAAATGATTCTTTTCCTTTGATCAAAAAAGAATCACATTTAAAGAAATGTCGAGTCGACTTAATCATACTTTCAACTATTATTTCTATAATTATTGTCATCACCGTATTGGTTATATGCTTCGTCATTCTGGGAATCATCTCAAAGACTTTGTGATTGCAAAGAGACGAAAAAAGTTATACTATTTCATTCATTTTACTTTTAACTTATAAATAATAGATAAAGAGGAATTCAAACAATTTTATAAAGTTTACTTCTAAGTATTTTTAGTTAATTAATTAGTCATCATTGTAATGACATTTTTAATATTTATAATTTAATTATATTATAAATTAATTCTTTATATTTTTTTTTATTTTTATTTTATTTTTAATTTAAAATTTACAAAATTATTTGTAGTTAAAAAAACTCTTTTTCTCATCAAATTATTTATTATTAATTATAGTTTTTTAATTATAATTATGACAAATAAATCAAAAATTGTGAATACAAGTTTTAATTTGCTTCGTCATACAAATTAAATATTCTATTACATTATAATAGAATATTTATAATTATATTATTATTAGTAAATAATTAATAATAAATTATAATAATTAAAACATTCGATTTGGACCAATCACAACACACACGATAAATTAAATCATTGAATTTAGTCAACAGACAAATCCTTGAAAGGAAATATCAGTTCTGGGACGTCCAAAACGGACCTTTTTCCATTCATCCACTTCTGAGCTTTTTTTGACATTTCCCGAAAACAAAACGCCGAGTTTTTCAAGATTGTTTGTTGTGTTTTCGGGAACGTGTCAATCGTTTTCTCTAAGATATGGACGTTTTCTCTGATTTTAAGAACGTTTTTTGTATCTTCGTCGAGGGGAACAAATCGTTTTGTAATTCGTGATTTGTAAATCGCATCAAGTGCTTTTGGGATCGTTTTGTTGTAAATATCTCGGACCCAAGCAAGTGTAATTCTATATATAATCAAATGGTGATAAAAATCTCTGACTACATCTGACCAATGGGCAAAGAAAAAATGAAAATTGTCGTTTATCAAATAGTCGATAATTTCAACACGGCTGTCTGTTGGAAAGGCGGGGAGATATTCATATAATAAACCCAATAACTTATTGTTATTATTATAATTTTATAATAATATTAATAATATATTTATGATATATTTATAGTAATATATTTATAGCTTAAATACTTTATATTTATTTATTCCATAGTATGGTAACTTCAAACAAACTTTCGTTAAGGAATATGAGTGATCTGCTATCCGTGATATATATAAAGAGTCAATGATTAATTTGTGATTGAATGGTAATTCGGTGAATGGTGAGTTGATGTTTCGTTTTGTGGCAATAATCTTGAAATCCTTTTCAATCGAGTCTGCCATATCTTATAGTTAGTTAATTAATTATGATTGCAAATCAGATACTATATTATTAATT